GCGCTTGGTTAATAAGATATATATATATATATATATCATGTAAGCTATGCTGAAAGTACACTACACCCTGGATTCTAATGAGACTTCCTGACGTGGAGTCCAGCATGGGAACAGTCAGGCTACAGTATCTCCTACTTGAAAAATAACTTATTAGCTTTTGAGGGAAAAACAAAATAAGCAATATACAAGAGAGAGAGAGCTTTAAAAATTCTATAGTTGTAGCCAGGCATGATAATAAATAAAGATTTTTTTGTTGTCTCTGACTAAAAAATCTTTGTGGCAGGACATTTACGTTAAAATACTATAACCTTCTTCAGCAATAGAATGGCTACGGAAGCAAATGAGTGCTTTAAAAAGAGCCTCAGAAACGTCACTTGGGATTGCCAAGGGCCTTGTAGATGTCAGGAATGTAAATGTGTTTATAGCATTCAGTTCACAAATTGAATGCCACATTTCTAAAAATAATCTTTTCAACCTTTGGGAACAGCAGTCAATGATCTTGATGTCCTCAAGGTCAAAATCATGATTGTATTTTATACAGTATTGGGTTAATAAAGAATTTCTATATCCTGTGAAAATCGCTCTCTTGTGTTCTCTAATCCTTGATCTTAAGGCTCTTGATGTTTGACCAATATAAACTTTGTCACAGTCTTTACAACTGATTTTATAGATCACTCCTGTTGATAAGTCTTTACTAAATTTGTCTTTAGGTGTTTTTAGAATGGAGCAAATGGTCATTACGGGTTTGTGGGTAACATTGATATTGAATTGAGTTAAAGTTCTTACAATTTTTTCTGAAATTCCTTGAAGATATGGCAGGGCAACAAAACCTCTGTTGGTTTGAGACTGATTTGTAGACCTAGTGGTGCTTTGGCAGCTTCTAATAAATTGTTTAGTTTAACCATTGATCTTCAGGGCGTCCACCACGTGTTGTATTTCGTATAATCTGTCTGCGTTGGTAGAAGGGAAGTTCTTTGCTCTGTCGAGAAGGGTTCTAGCTACTGAACGTTTGTGTTGAGAAGGGTGCTGAGAATTGAAATGAAGGTATTTGTCAGTGTGTGTGGTTTTCCACAGGGAGAGCCTTTTGCCAGAGTTGAACTGAAGGTATTTGTCAGTGTGTGTGGTTTTCCACAGGGAGAGAGCCTTTTGCCAGAGTTGAACTGAAGGTATTTGTCAGTGTGTGACTGAACTTTTTTCCAAAGAAAGTAGGTATTTATAAATTATACTAATTTTTGTTTTTTTCGTCTTCTGACTTTAAGGCAGCCTAAGTTTGACATCATGCAAGACAAAGCAAATCGCAGACTGGTATACAATATTCTTTAATCCCAAACCTGATTATGTCAACACAATTCACTGTACACAAGAAGCTGTTTATCCTTTGTAAGTAGCAACAGAATTGTAGATTTCTTCATATTAATTTATGGGTGTAATTTCATCTGCTGGTAACTACTGAAATTTGAAATAAACCTTGAACTGTAGCATCTAGTTTTGGCAAGAAAATATGAGGTTAAGGATGAACATTGAGCAAGCTTATTAAAGGGCCTGAGGACCAAAATGTCTTTAGTCATTTGAGGATATGGAATGATGGATTGTGGGCAATGATTGCCTTCAACATGCAGATAAGAAAATTTTAACAATGCAGTTGCAGGAATTTGGACAGGTTACCATTGGATGTAAACCCTAGAAGCATATGCTCCTTGTGAGAATCTGTGCATTTTTGTTTTGTTGCTCTTTTCTTACACTTGTTATAATCATTGTTTTCCATAATTTGTGGTTCTCTTCTTTCAGGTACACCATAGTGCTTATGTATTATGCACTCTCAGTTGGTCTCTTGTTTTTGTTCCGGCCCATTATTTCACACCAGTTCTGTGATGGTCAGGGGCGAAATTCTACATATGCTGCCATGTACTTTTTACCATGCCTTGCAGTGGTGCATGCCTTATTTGGTGGACTCATTTGTGAGTGCTTTGTTCTTTTTGGTGAATAATATAATTTCATGTTGTTCAGTCTTGCTGAAACAACTTTGACTCGACCTAACATATTCATGTTAGTTTATTAATAAAGGGTTTGTTAATACTTAAAATCTGTAACAATTATTTCAATAGTTCTGATGGTCAATCAATTAATCAGTGGGTCAGTTTATTAGTTGTTCAATTAATTAGTTCATTAGTTGTTCAATTAATCAGTTCATTAGTTGTTCAATTAATCAGTTCATTAGTTGTTCAATTAATCAGTTCATTAGTTGTTCAATTAATCAGTTCATTATTCAACCAATCTGTTAATTAAGTTAGCTTTTGCAATGGCTTTTCCAGTGAAGTCTACTTTAGGGGAATAGAAGGGGCACCAGTGAAAACCTGAACATCTAGTAGAGGTAACATACGGAATTGATAAATTCTTGTTCGAGATGGATTCATCATTTTGGTTGATGCACCTACCTCATTTAACCTTGGATCACTGAGTGAGATCATCCAAAATGAACTAACTGTAGCTGTAACTCAGTTCAGCATTAACTTTTGAGTCTGTTTTGTGCCTGGCTTTTTTCACATTACAGCTTGAGTTGCATTTGGAGGTATCAGAAACTCCATAAGGGCTCCACTGTAAAGGGTGAGGGAGAAAGCTCCATCGCACATTTCATAAATTTTGTCCTTTTATCATCTACAGATTACTCTTACCCATACATCACGTTAACTATTTCTGTTTTGAGCACTGCTGCAGTCCTTGCCAAGAATAAAATAACAGTAAGTGAACTTGTCCATCACTCAGAATTGTGTTTTTAAAAAAGGTAAAGTTATGATGTAACAATGTTTCATTACACGAGCCTACAGAACCCGTACTGCTGTAGATCCTAACAGCTTAAAGTGACTGCAGCAAGAGAAATGTTACCAGTGGCGTATCTAGGGGAGGGACCTGGGTAAAAAAAAAAATAAACACAAAAGGAAGAAAAGCTGGCAGGTGTACATACACACACACATGAAGCCCCCCCCCCCACCTCCCCTAAGCTCAAGGTCTGGATCCGCTACTGGTTACCTCTCTTCCACTGGATGTAAGTTGATTTCAGGTTGCCTTTCAACATTTTGTAAGGTTTCCCTGAAATAACATCAATGCACAGTTATAGATAAGTTTGTCTATTTCTCAGTTTATTTTCATGCAAAATCGTTCGGCTTATAGGCAAATAAATACAGTACTTCTCGGTGTAGAGAAGCACTGTAATAATGGAGTGTCTTGCCCAGTGATCTGGGCACATAAATGGACCCGATTCTTTTGATCAGCAGTTCAACGTGTAACCCCCATGACCCAGGCCACTTCATGTCCCAGGCCACTTCATCTCCCAACAAGTGTGACAATGTGTCATCGTTGTTGAAGATTGCTAACATGTTTTTCTAAAATCATGATTACTTTTAGCATATCGGCCAGTTGGTCAAGAGCAAACGTCACACGATCATCATCATGGCTCATTGGTTAGCGCATGCGTATGGAATATTGGCCGTCACGCAACTCCGTGACCCTTCAGTACATGGACCCATGTTCGCATTGGTGTTGGCTCCAGTATCATTCTTTTTGTTAACACATTCTTTCACAGAGCCAAGCAAGTTTAAGACTCCTTGAATTCACTTAACGTTTTTTTTTCTCTAATTTCTAACGAATCACGCGATAAATTACGCTGGGAGAAAAAAGGGGGAGGGGGGGGCTCTGTGCGTGTTAATTCGTGAATTTGGAAGCCCAATAGTTCCACTTTGTTTCACTTTGCTTTTCTTTCTCCCCCAAAAAAGAGAACCATTTTTTCAATTTCTCTTTATTTTGTTTCTTATTATCGTTCTGAAAGACATTAAGATCTTTAATATTGTCTCATGAGCGGTTCCTACCGGCAAATAGAGAGTTCAGGGCTCGACACTAACTTTTCAACTTACCAGCCAAGTGACCAGTGACATCTTAGATTTTATTAATATTTTTATCAGTTTATTTTCTAACCAAACTGGCTAATGGACATCGAAAACCACTAGCCAAAACTGAATTTCTACTAGTCTGTGGCGGGTGGGTTACCGTTAGCGTCGAGCCCTGTGAGGTAGAAGATATTTTAGAGTTTTCAGACAAGTATAGGTTGAAATAGTGTTCGCTCACTGAGTTACATTCAATCCATAATATATTTTTTAGTATTTTTGTTTCTACTCTCAGCGACTATCAACCTCAAAATGAGTGATCCACTATTTCGACAGCGTGCTTACAGTTTCACAACAACTGACGGCACAAACTTGAGTTAGGAAAAATCTGTCATTTGTGTGTCATTCGGTTATGAGCAGTAAAAGTAGGAAATATTTATTAAAGAGTATTTGCTGTTCTTTAATGGGGGTTAGTGTTACTATCCAACTTACTAGAATGTTGAGTAATTGTTTGTTGTAAGGTTGAATCATGTAAATTATTAAATGCTGTTTCTTACGTTATGCTTCTCGTTCAGTAGAGAATGCGACTGAGAAATGCTTATCTTCGATCGGGCGATTTCTTTTGGTGGTGAGCGCGAAAGAGTAACAGTGTGCGCGTCGGCGGTGTGTAAAATGAAGAGAAGAAACCGCTTAAAACAATTTCTGCATCCTAGCGCTCCACTTAATCGTGTGTCATGCCGTCTCGCACAATAACTGTATTTAGTTCAAGTCACTTTGACTTAAGTCTTCTTTCTCAGCTGTTTTTCAGATGTCACGCTTTCTCCTTTCTCGCTTTTGAGGGAAGTGTCGCGTTCCATCCCAAAGAACGGCTCCTAAGGAGACCGTCTTTACTGGTTTTATCATAGTTTTCTTGTGTAATCTGGCCTAGTCTTCCCTTCAAAGACTGTTCCAGGCTTTTTTTTTTTTTTTTTTCGTCTTTTCTTCTTATTCATGCCTTGTCTTGGCTTGTTTTGTTTATTTTCCCGTTTCACTTGTGAGTTTTGCATCAACTTGTCCGGGCTTGTGTTAAGTCTTATCGCATTTTATCTAGACTTAATAGTTTACCTTCCCAGTGCGAACAGACCCACGCGACCACACGAAACGAAACGAAACAACGCGAAAAGACGCGAAGAGGAATGCTCTGTGGCGATTAAAGGATGATTTTTTGGATTGATTGAAAACCGCAACATAGCACAACCTTCATAGACTGTTCTGGCTTTTTTTTTCTTGTTGTTTTTCGTCTTTTTTTCTTATTCATGCCTTGTCTTGGGTTGTTTTGTTTATTTTCCTGTTTCACTTGTTTGTTTCGCATCAGCTTGTCCGGGCTTGTGTTGAGTCTTATCGCATTTCATCTTGGCTTTGACAGTTTTCCTTCCGAGTGCGACCAGACCCACGCGACCACACGAAACGAAACAACGCGAGAAGACACGAAGAGGAATGCCCCTTTGGCGAATAAAGGATCATTTTTTTATTGATTGAAAACCGCAACATAGCACAACTTTAATTGCCAAATTATGGCTGATCAATTCTTCCATATTCCAAACATAAACACGGCAGGAGATTTAATCTTGCCTAGATCTTTGTTCTTCCGCTGGGGTATTAGATGTTTGCGTTCCATTTTTTCAAGAAGTTTTAGCATCGCGAGAACAGCGACTTACGACATCCAGCCGGTTGAATAAGATAAACAAAGAAATAGTGGATTGAGAAAGTTTTCAAAGTCAAAAATAAAATCATTCCATCGGGGGTTGCGAAAGAGGGTGATTCGGGTGATGAGTGAAAACAAAAAAAAAATTGAAAAAACTGAACTGAACAAGTTAGTGAGCAATAGCTTGTTCGACACTGTTGTGAAAAGCGGATACTTTCATGCTTCATCAATTTTTGCGACAAACCAATGTGGCGTGAATTCACGGAGAAAAGGTAGTCGGGTATGATCACGGGAAAACCAGTTTTGTAAATTTGTGCTCGATATTAGTGGCATAGTTCAAATTTCCATTTGATTGATTGATTCATTTTTGGCAAAAATACGAAGTTAACATTTTTAAACTGTCGCTTTTATTTTCAATTCAGTAACTTAGTTCTGGCAAATGTTAAGATATCTTTCTCCTCGCTTAAATTAACACGGGAAAGATCTTTCATTTACCTGTAAACACCAAGTGACTTCTCATGTTTGAATGGGAGAACGCTTCAGATAAATTTTCGAAGTGGTGCTTTCAGGCGCAATTTACGTTCTACTGGTGTCAATAAATTTCATAATTGTTGCGGAAAGGGAGTGTTCCAGAAAATGTGCATGAAGGTTTCAGCGTTTCAGTTTCTCTGTCAGGAACATAATCAGCTAACTTCTCGCATGCGTGGCTGTAACTAATGTTCGTAACATGTAAAAATATCTTAGCTGTATTTAGAATAATGTAATGTTTGACTTTGAAAATTACTTCCTTAAACTTGTCACAAACTTGAGCCTTTATTTGTTCGATCCTTGATTCCAAAAATGAGTAAACACAATTGCAGCGTATAAACGTTCCACTATTCGATCACTTTTTCAAAGTATTAACCCACACTTATAGACTTAATGTCACTTCCCTTTTGCAGGACCCCTAGCTTCCGGCCAGGTTGAGTAGTTAAGGCTATCGTATTGCAAAACAGTTTCTAAAATAGTAAGCAAGAGAGCATTTTAATCTAAAAGTGAATATCCTGTCCTTTGATTCTGCCAACAAGACTTCTAGAAGACTTTTATTCCGTACCTTTATATTAGCACGTTGCTCATACATGCCACAGACACTTGATCCCGACAGGTTTAATCATGTTTTAAATTTGCTTCTTATTGAGTTTTGTTCAGGGTTTAGAAGTCGAAGTAAAGCACCAAACTTAAGTAACTTTCTTAGAACTTAAGAGGAAAAATGCGAGGGAAAATAAGATCAACAACACGCACTTAAAAAAGACGAGTGTGAAATGACCTTCGCAATATTTTGTACTATCCCAATCACTGTTCAATTTTGACCCTATCGTAGTTTATGCAGCCAAACGTTTCCGTAACGAAGATCGATACAAATGTGTACAGCCTCTGAGAAACTAACCGCTGCATGGCGCGAACTGATATACACAACGGAAAATCGAGAGATTGTCTTTCAAAATCCTGGTAAACCTACAGTAATGAAGATGCATCACTATTGTAAGCCTTGTCTAAGAGAAGCCTCCCAGACTCTACTAGGATCAACCTAACGTTTTAACGGAATTTAAAAAGACGCAAACTGTTTATATTTGATAAGGTGATTTATGTAAATTGAAGGGTGAGTGGTATTTTTCAAATGTTGAATCGAAGACTGTACGTCACGATTGTCGTAAGGAAGCCGTGTTTTCAATAACTTTGTGCCGCCCACTTGTTATTTAAACGACTGCTAAAGTAATATATTGAGCGGCGGGTAAAGTACGAGAACACATTTCAAGAGCTGCCGCAATATTATCTGTGTACATCCATCACGCCTTTACGAAGTAAACATGATTGAACATGTAATAGAGCTCGTAAAAAGCTCTCAGGACTGACAGTTATGGAGTTTTAACTCATTCGTTTAAAATCGTAAGTTAGCCATAGTTTGGTTTAACTCACGAGGAAAGTTCACCAACCGCAAAGACGTTTCAAAATAAATCAAGCAATTGATTTATTTTCATTGAATACAATCAGATATTGCCTTGATGACATCCGTAGGGTGCCAACACAGAGCAAGTTTATCACAACATATGTAGTATACCATGAACATGGGTAAAATTATGATACACCACAGCAACCGACAAAATTAAATACAAGTGAAATTCATATGTTCTTTTGTCTTCATTTGGTGCCTATTCAATATGAAAACGCATCAGAAGTTAAGTGTCATCCCTAAATTTAGTCAAGACGCAAATGACAGTTGAAAGTAGTCTATGGGCAATCTCTGGGAGCGGCAGGCAAAAGCGGTGTTTAATTTGTCGTTCAGGAAATTGTGCAAGATACCAAAGAGAAGACAAGGGAAGTATGAACAGAATTTTGTTCCACTTTGTTACTGCCAATTTGAAAGTACAAACCAAACGTCAATGACGATTCATCCGAGTTAGATCTCAATACTCAATTTTTGCTATCAAAAGGCTCTCTCTAATGCAAATTTTTAAAACCAAGGGATTTTTTAGTTTCGATTATTTTTAGGTCTCATTACGACTCGGGCGTTGTCAAACCGGGAAAAAAACTGTTAACAGGGTTTAACTGAATGTAAAAATCCAGCTCTCCGTTTTGATTCGTGGGAGGTTATGGCTGAAAGCTGAAGTTGTAATTGATAACTATGAACAACAATAAACAGCGATTACTCGGAGTTTATTTTATTGTTAAGCTTAACAATCCCACTCAATTTGATGAACACCGATCGTTCATGTTCGCGAGCCGGCTCCTGTCTTCGTAAACCATCGTATTCCATCGACAGTTGCGAAGTCTAATGAGGTGAAGTCGCCAAACCCGGAAAGTTAACGAAATCGCTGAAAATAAAACATGACACCATCGCTACCTTTGGTTAAAAGAAAATGCAAATTCTAAGCGGAAGCGAACTCGTCTGAAAAGGGATTCCCCTTGATACGCTTATGTATTTCTAATTGATTATTTTGGCGCGCAATTTTTCCGCATCGCGCGTTGTGCGTGGGTGACGCAATCTAAGTGGACGGAAAATAAATCACTGCTGTGTTGTCTATAAAATGGCTCCGTTCTAGGAGTTTTTCAAATGCACAAGTTCTTGGCTTTGCGCAAGTAGTCGACCGTCCCAAAGACAGACAGGGTGGTGCAAGTGTTTTGTGAAAAACGGGTAAAATACCAAGAATTATGCTGTTCTCAATCAAGGTAAAACAAAAGTTTATTTTTCAGGGGTAATGACAAACCTCTGAAGTTTTCATTCGTTCTTTTATAATTAGTGAACACGAAGCCCCTCTAAGATTTTTCGGTACTAAAATTGAAACTTTTATATTAGATCGGTCTTGCAATTTGAAAAGGATTTAGAATGCACAGATCGACGAAAATTACAATTCGATGTTGAAAATCGCCAATGAAATTTAATGAATTTGATTTTACGGCATTTGATCCATCTTTTCTGGACTGAGAATTTCGTTTTATCGTTTTCACGGTTCGCGAATTTTTCTTTGTATTCAAAAATTTACATTTTGATGTGTTCACTCAGCTGAATCAGATACACAATCACGCACATTTTACAATAAGTTTGATTTAATGAAACAATAATCGATATATGTAAAAAGCGCTAGCTAAAAACTCGAGCATCGAAATTTTCCTGCGATTTCGCTTACCTCCTTTTCTAATCTTTTATTAGATGCACCTGAAAATGTATCATTTCCCCGCACAGCAAATGCAAATATTTTCAAATTGTTGTTCAAATGGGGAGGGCAAATAGTTAAAGTTCACAAGTGCCTTTTCGAATTTTCAGGATTTAAAGACCAGATTCAGCGCAGAGAAAATATTGTTGATTTATCAATTTTTCAATCGATTTCAAGATGAAATCATAATTATTGATTTAGCTCGATGCGAATTTCTCTTGACTCAGCAATATTTATATTTAGCATACGAATTTTCAGTCTTAGTAATCTTAACATATTTCTTCCTTATGTTCCAGCAGGCACTTTGGGTGGTTTTGGCGCTTCTCTATGCGGCTCAAGTTATCAACTCAGCTCCTTGCGGAGAGACGTTAGTTACACCAAGAAAAGTTGTGGAAGGAGTTTCCAGATCCGGGTGGTTATTGGTGCAAGAAAATTCAGGGGAGGATTTTAGGAAAAGCTTAAGTATTCTGCCTCGCCAGAGGAGAAGCACTGGTCACAGAAAATCCCATCACTGTAATTGGACTGACGAGCTTGACGAGAATGTAAATAGAAAGCCCAGGTTTTTATACAAAGCAGTATGTAAAGGTTGCATTTCGTCTTGCAAGCCAGTGGAGTTCGATCATCGTGTACTTGTAAAAGATTGTAACGCCGGTCTAAGAACTCGCAGAGAAAGAATGGACGTCTGGAAGTGGGAGAAAGTTACTCTGCCGGTGGCGTTTGTGTACAATCCTTAAATAACTTCTCTTGAGTAAAAATCATGTCCCGTGCCCGGCTGCATGCTCTAAGATATGGCACCGGCGGAAAGTCACGTGAACGTCATCGTGACGTTGGGTATATCAAGGCAAAAGATTTGGACGAATTTGCAAAGTACCTAAAACAGAAAGAGAAGAAAACGAAATTAAAACCACTGAAATAAGAGGAAAGAGAAGGCGAAGGACAAATAATAAATAAAATGCAAGGAGGAACAAGAAGAAGAAACGTGTCAACTTCGGAAGTAGTTCGTAAGGAAAGCTTTTGTTAAGCCACGTTTTTTAATTCAATATGATTTGAATGTTGTAGATATTTTCTTCTATCATAAATTGGCCAAATCAAGAATTTTTAATGAGTAGTATCAGACTGAATGAAGTCACCTAATTCTTAATTTGAATATTCTTGGTGGTTGCAGAAAATGTTTTTATCATATTTTGATTATTTATAATCCCTCGTATAACGTGAAAATAGCTAGTAGAGCCGTCATTAGGATTGTTGAATGATGTGGAATAGAATTATACAGATTCTGTGCGAAGCATGGAAAAAAAAAGGTTGACTCAGCGAGTTATAAATATGTTTTCTCCAAGTTGAGAACACTCAGCATAAAAATATTTATTTTTAGTTTTAATCTCTCTACTATCAACTCAATTAGAAATATCATCATCAGTAACTTCATTTTTATGACTGTTATAATAAACCAAGCGTAGGCGTAATTCCAACTCGTTTACTGTATATCTAATGTGTAATCGCTTCTTTATATATAGGTAATATAGGAATCACTAATTTAATCAATCAACTGTCACTGTACAAACAAAACGAAATATCTGGTTTCACAGGTAAAGAAATTGTTCTCGCATGGGACCATGGGGGCGTCTCCATGTTTCCGACAACTGTATCTGTCACTTTTTCAAGAACACGATTTCTAAATAATCATTTCATTTATGTTCTATTGTAATAGAACAAAAGCCGCAAAGATGTGCTGGGTTATTTAAAAGTTATTTAAAAACAAAACCAGATAATAAACAACCATGTAATATATTTATTATTTATTTCACCAATGTTAAAATATTTCACATAGATTAGGTTAGAGTTAGTAACTGAAAAAAAGGAAATGAAAATGAATACTAAATATGGTAATCATTGACACCGATTTCAATAATAAATAATCGAAAACTGAACTTTGTGGCTATCATGGGCCCATCTACACCGACCGTGTGGCATGTGAAAATATCTTAATTTGTTTGAGAACAATTCTATTACCAAATGACAATTGCTCAATTTTTCGCTGCTTGTACACACACCCTAACGGCTATAACAGATCAACGCGGATCATCGAAAACGGCGGATCCGCACAACTGAATTATCTCTAACGCTTTACTCTGATGAGGATTTCCGTTTAGGCAGTGGACGCCGGTCAATATAACTAATAACGATCAGACTATGCGATTACACAAAATGATCTCTGATGGAACAGTGCAAATATAAATCGAAAATCTTTCAGGCTGCAAGCTTTCATTCAGCACCAAACATTGTGACGTATAATGCACCTGCGGATTCTTCATGCCTGACAACTGAGCCAGTGCTGATACGGATGTTCGTTGAATGCTTTTCCGTTACCAATTTACCCCGAATTTCTTCTACAGTAAATTTAATCCCTTTAAAAGGAGCTTCACTTCCTCGATTTAGGTTTGAAATCATTTAATATATGAAGGAAGTTGGTTTAGCTCTTTTTAACGGGTCAACATAAGCTCTGGCTGCCCTCCGTTATCTTGGAAACAACGCCAATTCAATTTGAATTTTATCCGTCACCAAAGTGTTAGAACTTGAGATATCCTGGGTCAGCAGCCGAGCTCGATCCTCGACACGAGGTTCGGGCGAGGTAAGGCGAAAGCCGACCCCTGATACATGACGTGAAACTCCAGGCAGAAACTCTTTCGTTGTCATTTTCAATTTTATCAATATTCATATCAGAATTTAAAAAAATTGTTTCGTTAATTTATCAAAATCCTCTAAAATTAAATTACCTTTAAAGGTAGGGCTTCTTCAGTATGTGCTATAAAAGCTGATGCGTGACTTGGCAGGGCTTTCTTTCATGTAAAACATTCGTCTCAAGGCATGTAACGCAATACACCAGTGTACAAGCAATCGACTTCCTGTTATGCGTTCCCTAGATATCGGATAAAGCGACTTCAAACGTCTATACAAACATAAACAATAGGGTTCATTACTGTAATAGACAATTTTGACGCACGAATAATTTTAATTTAACATTAATTTCGATCGGTTATTGAGGCTAGTCCTTGTTTCGCATTTCTAGCTTGCGATGAAGTTAATGTCATGCCCGAGTTACTGTGAAACTGAAAATTTTCAAGATGTTCTTATTTACTGCTCTAGAATTTTCGGCTGCTGTATTTGAATCAGTAATTTTTTTAATTAAATGAAAAACTTGGTGTAAACAGTTGATGACATTTGTCAATGACATTACGTCAATGGTTCCTTCTATAGCTTTGCCTTGAGGCGAACGAGAATCTGAAAGACTCCATTTAGATTTCAACTAGAGCGGGTAATTTCCCAGCGGTTTCATATAAGGTAGAGTTAGATCACCGGGTAACATTTTTTAGCGAAAATTTAAGTTGCAAATTCAGCAACAAATTCAAATGTCACGCGGCCACTGCATACGAGTGCCATTTTTGTGGACGCAGTATTCGGTTTAGATCGAAAGAATAGTTTTGTCACTAGCTAAAAATGATTCCCCAGCAAAAGGGATAGAAATTAAAATCAAAATAACATTTATAAAACTATTACCAAACTCGAAAGTAGTTTCCCCTTGGGAACTCACCAGCGTGACAACTTAGTATTATGGCGTGACGAAGGTTATGAATCATGGTGAATAGTTTCACCACCGTTTAAGCTCAAACAAAGGGGCTCCAGGACATGAGTAATCGAGCAAATTTAACATTTACTCAAAACATCATAGTAGAAAAAACCCTTTTCTTTAACTTAAACGAACTCATTACTTCTAAGCTAATGATCTTTCCTTAAAAGGCTTTCGTGTGGGAGGAGAGATAAGATTTCGCAACACTGAGAAGAGATCACACGGAAGAGGAAAATTCGTTTGCCGCTTCATTGTTTTGGTACACAATCTATTAGCTGATTTAAAAGTAAATCTTTTTATAGCTAATTTATCTATGCAAGGGGTTTCCCTCAGCTGCTATATATTGGCACACCCAAGTTTTGTGTCTATAAAAGATGGCACAGACTTCTTGTTCCCAAAACTTAAGAATCTCCTTGGATTGGTTCGACCAAGATTATACTCGACAACATGCATTTGACAAAGCTTCTCTTGGTAAGTAAATGTCATTGAAGAGGTAGAACTTTATAGCCGGATGGTCGATCATTCATTCGATAGTCAGTTTAGAACCTGTTGATTAATGCTTGTAAACAGGATGTTCTAAATGAAATAGGGACGACTTTGCCAGTTCCGAGTAAAACTACAACTGATTCACATTTAACGCCAGAATGATTTTTACTCTCCTTTCATATGTTGTCAAATTTTTCCCATTGCATGCCAAATAGTTGATTTCGCTTTTCCCTGTGTCTGTCGCAAGAAAGAAGGCCCGCAACGTTTAGCCTGATTATTTTTTTCAAAGTAGCAAGTTAAAAATGGCGTTTGTGTTTTTCCTTTCATAAGTTTTAACACAATGCTTTGAAAAACCGTTCAATTATAACAACTAAGTTGAATTTTAACGCCGCGCTTGACGTGCCTCGCCAGAGCATACTGGCCCAAGGAGTCAGGAAGTATTTGATGTTGATCAACTATTACACTAGTGTTAATCGAAGGCAAAAGCTCAGGAAGTTGTCCTTAAAATCATTCAGACAATTAGAAACGACAGGATATTTTAAGATATCATTGAAATGTTCAATTGGTTAATCTAACTCAATTACAGCATTTGTTTACACCAAAATCTATTTTGACTTTTGACGGTATAAACCTGCTAGAAGTATAATTTCGGTCGAGTCAACATTTAAGGTTGGTAAATTATACCACTGTCCGCTTCCAGCCCTTTGTTGGAATATTGACAACTTAGGTTATCGAAAGAGCATGCGCACTGTCTTTACGACGTCTAGACAACTGTTCCATGCAAAACTGCCCTGAAGCGGACGAGCGTACCGCATGATTGGCCGTTTCTCCCCGCCGCAGAATATTTCCTGTGAATGTTAATAAGATTAATAAAACATAATTTGTTCCTCACAGACTTTTAGCTTGTTGGCCTCTTTCGTCATTATATTACTGGCAGGGCCATTGCCGCGTCCATGTAAGGAAAGAATAAAACCTAAAAAGGCGCTGCGACATCTACTAAACGGAGGGAACTTCATGATCATGGAAAACGCCGATGCAGACACCAGTTTCGAAAAAAGCATCAGCATACCACTACAAAGAAAAAGGCGCTCTGCCTCACCCACAATGCAAGGGGTATCCCCTTGTCAATGGCAGTGGCGGACTACAGACGAACCAGATGAAGCTCCAAGGTTCTTGACAGAGGCACATTGTCCAAACTGCAAGTATTTCTGCGACCCTATAAAATATACAATAAAAGTTTTGGTTAGAGATGGCTGCGAAAGCAGCTTACCAATCTGGCGATGGAAAGAACGAGAAATAACAGTCGGCTATGTTTACAGAGGAAGCAGATGAAACTTTAACTAATCCACCCATGTGATCAACAACTCAAGTCTCTTGACAGTGGAAATGCACTCGAGGGCATTCAGGCGAAGGAAATTGAGGGAAGTAGTAACAACTCGCTATTTTGATCAGGGCAGAGATTTTTGAAGTGATAATCACTTATAGAAAGTTTACTTAACAAATATAAGAAACTCGTATTTTTGGCTACAGTGGGTATTACCCAGCCTGATCAGTCTATATCGAGTGATCCATTCGAATCGATGCCAAGTATATAACTTATACCAAATATAGTTTAGGGAAAATATTTTGTCTTCCAAGCACATGATCGATTTGTCACCTTTGATAATCAAACGATCGCCTATTTCCCCAGTTTTTTTTTTCTCCAATTTTTCTTTAAACAACCTAGCAACGTTTTGCCACCCTCTAATATTTATTCTTTAAATCTTAGAATACTTTGTTTACAGGAAGATAATCATGGCACTGTGCGATAAAAGTCGAATATCACAACGAGCTTCTTTTGTTCCCGATTACAATCTGAAACCAGTTATTTGAGTTATTTCTCTCATCGATTTAAATCGATTGTCAGGTCGGGTTTAGTTCAGCATAGTTATCAGAAATGAATTATGTAAATTTTATATTAAATTATTTTACGATAATGATAATATTTTTTTTTAACAATAGTGCAAGATACCCAGATTGTATATTGTTAAGATGAACCAAGTATTTATTAAGAACCAGTCATTATTTATAGCCCCGGCTGGGGGTGCAAAGGATTTCGGGGGAATCACTTGGTTTTAGGTGGAACAGGGAGGAAACAATCGTCACCACAAGAGTAGGGGACTGGGGGGACTGTAGAGAATTGACTGCCTGTTAGTTGCCAGTGAGAAGGGTGGGGGGGGTGGGGGGGGGGCAAAGGAATATTACCAAGCCCTATCGGGGATCAGGTCAATTCTATCGTAACACAGTTGAAATAAAGAGCCCCACCTCCCAACCTCCGGCGATAAATAGTGACATGTATCATATATGCCACAGAGTTTGTAGACGTAGTCACAATGTGACAGCATTATAACGTAGTAGGGATTTTTCCCTCTTTCTGCCTCAGTTTTCAAAGTTTTATTTATATAATTATCTATCCATATCTAATTGATAAATTAAGTTATTTGAATCCTAAAATATATCATTTGAAAAATGGTTATTTTGTCTTGATCAGTAACAGATGTCATCGATTATTTAAATGAATGAAATATTCTATAATTGTATATCGATCTTAAGTTTTCGAATCAATTAAGTCTTTTTCGCCACTCCGTGACATCGCTGTAAATGGCTCTATGATGTGAAAATATTTTTCAACAATAAAATACTTCTTTGAAGTTAAAAGGTATCAAACGACTGCATCGGATACAATAAACTGTTTGAGGCTCGCTAGGAGTAGCATTTGATCGTGTTGTGTGATTGTCCGGGCGAGAGTAGTCCTGGGAAGGATTATTGTTGGTAGTAGTGACTTAGGCTATCGGAAGTCGTCGAACAGAGTCAAACACTTTACATGTGGTCACCATGTGATATCTTGACTCTGAAGATGACATCCTCCAAGGTTGTCAAAACTTCAGCCGTTACGTACCTCCGACAACTTTCGTTTCCCAGGACTACCATCACCTGGTCGAGCAAAGTAAACAATCAAGAGACTGCAACCTCGGACAAAATCAAACCTGTTGAGACACATTACAAAAATACCTATTTTTTGCACTCACCCTGAAAAAAATGCTTACCGTCGCAAATTCAAAGATTGTTTCCCCCCTTCCCTATTGCAATATTGTTTGCGGTAACTCAAGAAATGCATGCTTGAGCTGTTAAGCCCCAACAACATTGTACCAGGGGTGGGGAGGGGGGCAAGTTTGTTCCTTTTGGAAACGATTGTTGCATGGTGGGAAATTAAAAATTGCATTGAAATGTCTGAACAGTTTTGTCCGGGGTTGTGGATCAACGCCTATCATGTTGTTCAGACGTTCAGCGCGCTAACCGCTATGGCACTGCGCCAATGGAAAGACCCAAGCTACCCAGAAGGGCTAGGGTTGTCATTTGCACGTGACTGGATTTAGTAAAAGAAGGTCTGGTCGTTCGCAAAGCAGAAAAGGATGATATGGACGATGAAAAAAATCAACGCTAATTTCTCAGTCTGAGCACAACATATTCTCTGAGTTTCCAGATAGGTTGATTTCTGTCGTGCAATTGAAAAAAGTTGGCTACTAGTTGTTTGTAAGAAACGACGTTCAAAATGGTACAAAATGTAAAGGTATTGACCTACTCCAGAGCTTTGATCTCCTCGACAGCTTTCCTCAACGAATTAATGCATACTACAAGTTCCTCTTTCGTTTCCAGTCGTTGCAGGCCCAGGCCTAAAAGCTTATTCAATGCGTCCATAAGGCGTGCTTTCAAAACAGCCTGTCCATGGCTTCCTTGACTTCCTCTTATCGCGTCATAGGGGTTGTCGCCGACGTTCTTTGAAATCGGTCCACTGCAGTTGGAAACGTTCTCATCAGAAGCGAAGGGGGACAAATTGACCTGATCTGTTTCCCCATGAGTTTCCGTACATGCAGCTTGCGTGGCTTGACAGCTCCGAAAAATCCCGTCTAGAAGGATAGTTGACATACCTTGCTGTTGCGCTCCTGCATATTCTTGCGCACTTACTTTTTCTGCCAGTGGAGGAGTAAACGTTTTCAGAATCTTTGCCGTAACTGGACCCTCTCTGTTGGAAGCGGGAAGAGGTTTCAAGGAAGCATCAAACTGTGTGGATGTCATAGTAACCGTTTCTTTTGCACACGAGTGACTTCTACTTTGTTCCAGCCGAAGGCGTGAAGATTTCACGAACGATGCAGAACTGCTTGGTGGAACCAAAGGATGCCCCCTTTTCGCTAGTTTGGGTGGATGGGTGTCACACCCGAGTTTCAGTGGAGACAAGAATACATTCGTTGGAGCAGTGTGATTGTCAGCTGTCTCTCCACCTAAAAATGCACAAACATTTTTCCAGTTTCAAAGCTTATAAACGTGCATAACTTAGCTTGTCAGAACTTAAGTGCTAGTACTCCATTCTGATTAATTCTCCAATAATCATAAGGATGGGGAGGGGGGCGGTGAAACGGGAGGGGGGCGCCATCTAAACTTATAGCCTAAGGAAGGGGGTAACATTTTATTATCTGTGAGTGCGATATCTATAAAAAGGTGATAACAGGGGTGGATCCAGAATCTCAAGAAGGGAGTGTTTCATCATGAAAAGTACCCAAAAGCGAATGCAAATTAACATTAAATGTATAAAAATTTTCAACCCAAAGTGAGTGTCATGTCAACCCCAGGACACCCTCCAGATTCGCCATTGGACATACTTAATATGAAACTGATGATGCCTGTAATAGTTGAAATGAAGTTGACAAGATAATAAAAATAACACATGTTTTGTTGGTGTTCAAGATATTGATGCTAAACTTCTTCAGCTGACTTTTCAGCTTCTCTAAGAGTGTAGAGTTTAGAATATAACAGGTTTGCTATGCAAACTTTAGCAGCGCGAGATGTCACTGAACAAATCAATTCAGTTTCGAGATCAACATTATCAATCTGTGGCACTCCGTACTTCTCTGACTCATATTCGTCATAAACGGGTGCCCCTTCCCCCACCCCACCCCTCCCATAAAGAAAAAATAACAGAAATTCTACTCTTTTGATTTCTCACAGCAACATAATTCCTTTTTCTCCGGTCTTACTTCTTTCTTCCGGATTTTGAAGCGTTGGTTTGGAAACCGATGGAATAAGTGGAGTACGTTTTTCAAAGCAGTTTTTCAGGACCTCATTCAGTTGAAAATTCCTCTCGATGCCCTGTGATTGATATCGAGTGCAGAGTGTCGGAATCAAAATTATGGTGGCAGGTAACACCTGTTGGCAGCTTTCCTAATCTCTTGATGAAAAGACGATCATCAAATGCATTATTTTTATCTTTTATAGTTTCCACTTTTTTCTTTAGTTTATTTATTTCGGCGTCACACCTTGAAACAGTGTCTGAGGGAATTACCAGATTACAGAAAGCATCCCTGCCAACATATGGAGATATTTTAAAACACGCAAATAAAACATTCAAAAACCAGGAAACCCCCAACTATTTTTTCCGACAGAAGAAATGGACGAGATGACTTAAGGGTCATTAGATTTTCCCTTTTCCACCGCGTTGTTTCACCTTTTTTATGTGCTGTGTCCTTTTTTTATTTTTATAGCTATGAATTCTCCAATTTTAAATTTCATGAAGTTTCCATGCATCGATTAATTGCCTTCACGCGGGCCCATCATGGAAGCTAACAACAGCTGCGAAACGTTTCATTTCCAATGTGGCTAACCAGTTTGAAGTACATCATAATCCTCCTTAAGCGGTCCTATATACAATGCATATGCACATTTACTTGAACTGCATCGTAGACTTGCAAATTACAATCTGCCATGCTTCCATTTGAACAACTTTTCTAGAATAGAACTTGAGAAAATGGTGCCTTACTCACCTTTACATTCGCTACTATTCACCGAAAAAAAGGTGCGGTCAGGTGCGCTCATTTCCCTGACAATCTTGGACGGAGAGGAGTTAAGAGTTACGCAGACATCCTTTTCATCATCGGCAACAACTCTTCTTTTGTAACGCTGGCTATCGTCCAAGATGTTGCAGCCCGCCATCTGAGACCCTACGAATCCTTTTAGTTTTTCTTCCATGCAAAAAGGTATGCAGCAGTAAACTTCATTGCAGGACTCAGTGTGTTTTGAAGCAAGGTATTTCATTCGTTGGCATACCTGGCATTGGGTCTTTTTGCAGCTCTGCGTGTGTTTCATCGCCAACTTCATGTTCACGCAGTGCGGAAGTGGACACTCGGGGTTCGAACAATTAAGCGTGTGTTCTAGAAGTTCTAGGGAACTTTTAAACCGTCCTTGTACGGCAGCTGTATCTTTTGTGTTTGTGGTTTCCTGTCCTGCCATTATGAAGTAATTTGCGATGATCTAGAAAAGTGCAATGCATTGTTAGCTTGAGTTCCATATTTTCTTAGAAACGTCCAATTTCCCTTGAAATTCGTGATAACGACAAGATGAAGTGGAAGGAAAAGACTGCAATACTTGCAGCCACTAATTTTACTAATTAATCAGCTTGTTTGATTTCAAATAATGAGATGAATGAATCGATATATAAATGAGCAAATATGTGGATCAATAAATAACAATACGCATGGACATCAAGGAAGTTAAAATTTCTCTATCAATTTAATCTTCTTTACACCCAAAAAAGAAATTTTGAATAGTGTTAAGGTTAACTTATTTAATTACTTTTTTTTTTTTGCAAAAAAATTAGTGTTTCTACAGGCTCCGCTAGTTTCACGGGTTCCGCAGTCTGCTAATCAACAATTTACCATCATCCGCCGTTGACGACAATTTACAACTCAGCTTCCGGCCGAAGCTCAAAACATCTAATCCGACACAACGCAAACCTAACGAACATATTTTCTGAGCTAGAAACAGATCAAAGTTTATCGGAAGGAAGAATTGCTTCAACACTTTCTTGTCAGAGCGAAAATATCTTTAATATCAGAATAAACATGAAACGAAGTTCAAGTACGGCAAGGACAATGAAAAAATAATATTCACAAACATTACTAAGCTATACCGCTACCGTATAAAGAACACTCCACCAATTTGGATTTCAAGAGTTTCTCAGTTTTCTCGTTGTAAATTTTATACTTTGAGACTCCTTTTAAGGTTTTGTACTTTTTCGCCGATGAAATGAAGCTAGGGAAGTTTAAACTTTCAAATTACCGGAAACAATTATCACTGGTAGTGAAAACTGAATTCCTTCACGACTCTAAAGACATAAGAAAGTCTTTAAAGGTTAGTTCAGTTCATGTCGCTTAAATTTATGATTTGATCGGTAGGGCTAAGGTCTGAGACAGCTAAAACAAAACAAGGCTTAATAAAATTCGTGACAACAGTGAATAATTTACACGTAACCATTGCGTCGGTATTGTAATTTGTTGTAATACCTGTCTGGTTTCAAAACAATGGTTCGCTCGCTACAACCACGCAACTCCTGTTTACCAACTTTAAAACGTATTGTATTACAGGAAGGATTTATGTACCAATTTTTGAAAATACACCCATGCGGCAAGCCTAATAACATGGTCCGTCTCTCTCTTTCTATCGACCCCGTCCGCTCTTGAGTTTAGAGCGGCTTGTAACAAGTCCATGATGAACTCCCTGAGGTCCACAAAATACTCTTCAAATTTAAAATGTTTCAATCGAAAAAGTCTTGAATATCATCGAACTATCAATCTTCTTACATTAAGCATAGAACCACAATGCATTTTTCACCAATACATTGATCCATTCTGTCCAAAACATCTGGATCTCTATAATTTTATTGTCATAATAACTAACAGAGTCTAATATTGAGTCTGAGGGTCGTATAAGAGTGTCTAGACCGAGAAAAAAAATTGCTCTAAAACAGACACAACCTAATCATACGATCATCACGATCGTGTAACATTTGTCAAGTGTGTTTTTTTACTGATGAGATGGTAGATTAGCCTCGTGTCAAATTGGGACGCTTGCCAGCCCGAGCTAAGTCTTTTGCGGGACCGAGAGATAATTCCCTCTTAACCAGACGTGATCTTTTCGTGAGATCATCACAGTCATCCAAGATTTGGCCAGGTTAGATATTTTACAGATCTAAAGGTATAGTTACTTCACGGCGGTTAAATTAGGACGCTTGTCAGCAGCTAAGATGAAAACAACTATTGTTCTGTTGCGGCGCGAGCCAAACGAGTCGGCACATGATCAAACAAAAATTCCCATCAATGATATCCCCCAAAAAGCTGGACAAGACAGGTTTTAGCCATCTTTTCTCTGAATAACAGCCCAGCTATAATCACAGTTAGAGACACACGGGAAATAAACGCTAAGGTATGAAAGACAGGCCTACCTTCGATTGTTCAGTGCTATCGAGCTCAAAACTTCGAAGACTTGAATACACCTTGAGGATAGATGTTACTTGCTCGAGAGTCTGAAAAAAGACCGCCGTTTAGCATCTGCAGGCTTATTAAATGCGTCCTTTCTTATTGTGGAAGTATAGTGATATCTGGGTGGTAATATGCGGAATTTTTTAGTACTTCCTAGTCAATTTCTTCCGGTGAAGGACTCACCCGAACAGGGTGAGGGTACCACTTTGGATTTTAAAATGTCAAACTTTCTTTGTCTTACCATATTAAAGATTATAGCTGAAATCTTGGTTTCTTGGTTTCAAGCTCATCAACCTCGTATTTCCAACGTGCCCCTATCCGTAAATGATTCAGAATTCAGGTCGATCTCGTTACGTGAAATCTGTACAAACAAGCCAGTTAATTGCGTGGGTGCACATTTTCTTTATCGTCATAGATATTTCGGGTATCTAAGCTATTGTTGCGACAATTGTACGCTCATTAATCGCCGAAGAGGGCTAAGGCTGTTGTATCCTATGCGCATGCCTTATAGCACAAACTTGGTTTTTTACTTTTCCGCGAACACTCGTTATTTCCGAAGCCCAGATAATTAGAGCTGATCTCTCCTGCCTAACTTAAACCAATTTCCTTTTCCCCGGGAGGTTGGATAAATCGAAACTCTATTGTTATTGGCTTCTGCAGGGCGTTTACGCATACCTCAGTCCCAGCATAACTATGGTCCCAGCGCGTGAAGCAGTCAGGCGGAACACTGTAACGAAAGTGAACACTGCAACGAAAATATTAAGTAGTTTGTCACGATTTTCCTGAAAGAAAAGGAATTTATGCTAGATATAAATATCGAAAGCCGAACAAGACTACACCTACGTATGATGCACGATCCTTCGCCGTAGATAGCGCTATTTATGCAATAGCGAGAAGACTACACCTGTTGAAAGTTGAAGTTGAAAGTTGTTATTCGTGATACATCAGTTTCGTAACAAAAAAAGGAAAAGCCATGAATTTTTCATTCTATACCGATTCATTCATTCCAAGTTACCAATTCAACTGAAACAGTAATACTTCGCCGAAATTTACTTTTAAGGGCTTTACTTTTCGATAAGAAGGACTAAATATAAATCAAAATCCTCTTGGCGGGAGGTTTTCAATCAGCGGTCAAAGTTATGAAAATCGCAGGAAGTGAAATTTAGTTTCATCGAAAGCAGATAAAAACTGTTTGCAATCTATACCTTGCTTTTTGCAAAGGTGATTTCAATATTCACGCTAAGAGCTTTACCAAGTAAAAGTTTGTGTTGTGTTTCGTTGGAGTTTTCGCAAATGGAATAAATGCTAACGCTGGTTAACTTGTTTGGCCGAGGCCGGATGTGCATAAGAAAATAAAGTGAAGTGTTTTTGTGGTTCTCGAGGTCAATTAACATAGTATATGAAATTCAGTGTTCGTTAACCAAAATTTCACTCACGCTTGAGTAAAGTATATCTTCTGCGCGATATTTTTTCCTTTGGAATGCTATTGAAAGAAAAGTCGTCGTTGCACGGTTTAGAGGCCGTGGAACTCTTATATTTAGCCAGCTGCTAAGCAATGATGCAAATATGACTTTTAGCATGGAAAGTTCGGTTTCCCTTGCAGTGAACGATTACAATTTTCTGCCCTTAGGTCATGCGATGATGATTAGAACTCTCTAGGCGATAAAACCATTCTCGATAGATCCACGCTTAAAAGTTCTCAAGCTAGGCCTCCATTTCTTTTTCGTAGCTTTCTATTACCTCTTTGGGGTTTTTGCTGATTCACCGAACTAATATTGTGCAGTTCCCCCCAGACCGGAAGGGTTTTTTCTTTTGCAAACATGAATTTAGTCGAAATTTTGTGACGCAAAGAAAGGAAGGTGTGACCCGCTAGTTCGTTTCTCTCGCCCACTCAATATCTTTCACATTGGTGTTTTTCTCCCACACCTAATAAAGAAGCTTTTTGTACCCTTCTTCACGGCTCAGAAGTTTTACCCTTGAAACAAAAACAAAAAAGCAAAAGAACCTGATATGTCGTTCCTTACACAGTTGTGCATGACAAGAAAATGATTAAATATTAGGGCTAGTCTGCGATCGACACGGTCGGCCCGACCTGGCGTACCAATTTCTTTTTATTCGATAGGCATCGACAAAAAGACTGTATCTGTTGTCTTTGTAACCTTTACATCGAGGATTACACTCGAGAAAATTGTCTTCTCTGCTCGAACAAAGCTTCTGATACATTCTCAAGCCATTAAGTCGTTCTATAACTCAATCTATTTATATTTAACTTTATTTGTACACGTTAATAATTATCAATTAACTAAAGTTAAAACCTACTACAAGACATTTTTACTGATAGGAAAAAAAATTGAAGCCGATTGAATTGTATTCGTGCATGACTACTTTGTCCATTATTTACTTCTTTAGAAACCTTCGATCAACGTTACTCCAATTGAATTAACACAATTACTTAATGATAAGTTATTCTAAGGTTATCTCTCAGTCAGACATAGGTGCAGAGTACGTGGCTGAACTTGCTAGTCATTCAAGGCGTATTGGGTGTTGGTCTTGAAGTGAGCCTTGATTGAGATTCTTTGAAGATGACTGAAGATCAACAACATCTACGTTAGTGGTTTTTCCGATTTTTTTCCTCTGCTTGTCGGCGTTTTTTATTGGTTAACGATAAAAGGCTTCTAAGTAGCACCAAGAGAACATTATGGGAGTTTTTCTTCGTAGCATTCCAATTAAAAATTATGAAACTTAAAAGTTACAGACTGAAGTTTTGGATGTCGGAGAACATTTTCATAGTAGGCAGAGCATGAATTCAAAAAGTGGGTCATTAATTTTATTCAGTTTGAATTATCTTCTTCAGTGAAGACTGTGATCTTCGCTATGTTTCGATGGACCTGCATCATAAAGGAGTTCCGAAGTGAGCAATCCTACTAATGCCGTCATGCCCGGTCACTTGAACAACCCTAGCCTGGGGCTACACCCTTGCAATTGGGCCTGGAGCTATGTCGTCATCTGTGCTAGGATACCGGAACCACGTCTGCTGCACCTGTGAACGACAAACTTTCTCTGCTACCTCTTGATTTCCTCTAATTCTTGAAAGGATTTAACAGAAAACTAATAGCATTTTCACGGTTACTTCACAGACAAAAGGAAGACTGCATAATTCCAATTCTTGTCTTGTCCGTTCGCGTAAATGGGTTAACTTTATACCAAAATTTACTGAATATATCAACGACCATAAATATTACTCCTTTGGTATTTCCATAAGATTCCTTACTCTGGCACCCTTTCACGTTTCCGGAGAGTGTACGTTTTAAATTAATTATATCGTGTCGTTCTGCTAGTGATTCTTAAGCAATATAGATAAGATATTTCATGGCTTGGTGGAGAGAAGTGCATTGAACCTAAAATTTTTTAGACTGAAGCTTACCATGGGTGCTAGAGGGTTTTTTTTTTAGCAGCGAAAGTACTAACAGTGAGCGGCAAAGCCGTGATCGTTGGCGAAACAATACATTATGTTATATCACGATATTATTAAAAACTGGATCATTGGATAATGTAATTCAAGAGTTTTCATTGGCTTGGCCATTATGGTATATGAGCCAATATACCATAAACTACGATATGGTAAGCGTACGCATAAGCTTAAAATTGAAAGGGAGCAAAAAATGTAATAACATTTAGTAATTGAATGTAGCGTTTTTAATAAAACAATTATTCCACTCGCGTTTGTTAGATATGAGATGATTATAGCCAACGAGGCGCGTAGCGCCTCATTGGCTATCTATAATCTCATATCCAACGCGCGCTCGTGGAATAATTGTTAATTGTCTCAAATTATCCTTAGTAGAACCTGTCGTGTAAGGTAATGGGTAACAGCCACTTAGGATATCAAGTTGTGCTCTGAACGTCAAGCTTCAGTTGCCCTTGATGCAAGGGGTTTTTTTCCTTTTTAGCAGCGAAACCGCTAGCAGTGAGCGGTAACCGCGATCGTTGGCGAGCGAAAAAAAAACCTGCAAAGGCTTTTTTTCAGCGTTAAGGCTCTTAATGGGGTGAGGGCGTTTGCGGCTAGCAGTTAAAATTTTTGCCAATTTACGGCCAATGGTATCTCTTCATTGATCATTGTTGTATATGCACCAACGATTTTTTGTGGTCAACATTTTTAACGAGTAACGGTTAAAATTTGCCAATTTTTAGACCTGACTGAGAATTTTTTTTTTTTACCGTTTTACGGCTATCGGCTTATTGAACCATTTTTTTCGGCACATGAGCATTTGCATCAGGACCAATCATTATCTATCGTCGGAGGGAGGGGGGCTGGGGAGATCACATGTAATGGTTTTCAGGGGGAGCGGTAGAGGGGCATCAGTCGCCATCAGAATAGAAAGGGAGGACTATAGAAAATTGACCGTCAATTGAGCAGGGGGATTGTCTTAAGAATCTTATAGAGCCTTGTGGGGCGATCAGGTAGAATTTACCCTCAGCCCCCTTCTCGCCCCGAGTGATAATTTATGACCGGGTTCTTACCATCGTGGCTTTATTGCGGTCCCTGAGATACTTTGATTTCGTGTAAAACGGCTGTTAATAACCGGATGCACATCTGCTGTTCCTCCGTGGACTTCGTTTGCATCAGCAAGCGTTGAATACTGTATAGAGCATGCATCAGGCGTGCTTTCATCTGAGTTCTGGCATTGCCAGTATCAATGTCAGCTCCATCATCTATGAGTAAATTTCTCGTCTGCGATGTATCATCGGAAGTTCCAGGTTCTTGAGGAGAAAGAAGACTTGTCTTTGAATGATTCCTCTGCCGCTTTACTGCATTGTCGATTAGGCTCATGTGGAAATGCTCGGTATTCTGGCCTCGCCCAAGAAGAGATGGAGACGGAAAGTCTTTTCCAACACTGTTGACTGACGCTTTTCTCCGAGTATTTGTTGTTGTTTTATATACGAACGACGAAGAGCCTGTTGCTGAGGATGGCGTTGCGGAGGTGCCCGCTGAGGATATTGGAAATAACTCCTCAAAAGCACGATGCAATGAGTCAATCTTGCCATCAGCTTCGTTTACACTCGATTGATCTTTACGTTGTACAAGATAAGACTGAGGAGCCAGACATGCAGGCAAAGAGGTCGTTTGAACCGGGCCGGAATGGTTAATCAATACATCAAATGGTACAGTTGAATTCATATTTATGTCTCCATTTGCGTTTTCTAAACATGAAGGAAGTGTTTGGGTTGATTTTACCGGCCTTTGAGTCACTTTGCTCTGCATTCTTAGGGGTCCTGGTATCTCAGAACTATTTCTTCGTTCAAATGAAAACTCTGGGAGGAAGTTGTCTATGGTTACATCCCCTAAGTCATCCTTCAAGTCAATTTGCGCCCCTTTGAATGATTCGGCTCTTGCATCCATGCAGAA